ATAAGTAAATGATAAAGCAACAGTAATTCACGTTTTCGTAAACGCAACAAAAAATAATTTGTAAATATTTGAAATCTTATTGTGTATGTCAAATATAATCTTAAAACTGACGTCACATATTGGTCTTGTCTGTTTTGTCTTTTGTTGTCAATATGACGTCAGAAAATGACGTCCGGTGGATGTGACATATCAACGTCATTATCGGGTCTCTGATGACCAATTTAGGTCGAATTTATGACGTCGCATTGGTCATTTTATGACCAAAATTTGTCGTCGTTTTGATGTCGTTTTGCTACTTGGGGAGGGCCCCGCGTACCGCCTGCGTCCGACAGTAAGTTGCGCGCCCCTGTCTACCTTGCATACACGGCTCATAATTCGCTAACTATTTCTTGTTATAATTTGAAAACTAAGTTTCAGATAAAATTTTGGTAAAGGAAAAATCTTCTCAGAATTGAGTCAGGAATATGACATTTTAAGGACAAAAGTTTATTTTGGGACACCCTGTATATTGTTTGTATAAAATATTTGTTGTCAATAATTGGCGTCAAATTATACTCCCATAAAATAATTACAATCCAAGTGACATGTATATACAGTACAAAATGAAAAAAATTAAATCTTAATAAAATAATTTTTATGTAAAAACACTTGGCGCTGCCTAATAAGAAAAGCAATAATAAGTAACAAATTTTAAAGTTATAAATTTAATCAGAAATTTAAATTAAATAAAAAGCGCCGAGTGTTTTTAAATAAAAATTATTTTATTAAGATTTAATTTTTTTATTTTGTACTGTACATACATGTTACTTGGGTTGTAATCATTTATTGAAAGTATAATTTGACGCCAATTATTGACAACAAATCTTTTATACAAACAATATATACATCATTTAGGTTAAATAAAATCATTTTTATTTAACTTGACGCCATTTATTGATATCAAATCTTTTATAAAAAAAATACGAGGGGCGTTTAAGTCAAACCGGGACTTTTTATGAACAGAAGAAGAGATCCTGAGTGAATCTTATTAATCATACTGATTAGTTACAAGTGTCTTCTAACGCCGTATGGTAGCGTTAATGTCGCGGGCCACGCAAATTACTTTTTAAGCAATATGGCGCGCAACCATGCTAATTCAAAAACTGAACTGAAAAATATTTTTTTCAGAGATGTTTCACCTCTTTAACATTGTAAGAGCACTTATAAAAAATACATATATATTATTTTGTATGTTTATTATGTATACAAGATCGAAAACTTATCAAAATTGAGAGGAGAAGGAATACTTGGAGAAATTTTTAATAAAAATACAATAAATATTTTAAAACAAAAATCTAGTTAACAGTTTAGTGCAATAGAGAGATTTATGTATATTCTTTGGAATCAGATGAAAATGAACGCAGAACTACACCTGGAGCACCAACGCATCCTAGTCAATCTCATCAACCCAATCGTTCAGCATTACCAGGGGTAGCAGCGGCTGGAACTATTGTTGCTAGAACTGGAGCAACAGTTATTACGGACCATGTATCAGATTCAACTAGAAAAGTATATTCTAGCAATCCGACATATAGCAAAGGAAATACAATCACCGACGAAGATTTAGAAAAACTTTCCGAGGCGCTTTATATCAAAGAGTCGAATAATGCAAACCGATACATAACAATTAATCTGCAAAAACAGACTACAAGCAGCAGCCCGACGGATCAAGCTCCACAACCGTAAGAATCATATCTGATAAAATATATGCAAAATAATACAAAAATTTGTTCTTAAATATATAGGGTGGATACTAAAAGTAATGTAAAAGCTTTTAAGGCTCCTGCCTAGTCACCGCGACCATACCCTTACGAAAAAGACGCACCGGCTAGGGATTGTAATTTGTGTAATCCAAATACTACAATAACTACAGGAAAATATTACAATAACCACACACAAATATTACAATA